ACCATAATTCAGTTTGTGAACCAGTAGTTGGGTTCACCTGTTGGTAAAAATAAAGTTGACCTCTAATCAGTCCATGAACATGTCCACATGGTTTGTTATGGAAGTGGGCTTCTCACAGCCTTTTCCTAGTCTTCCAGCTTCCAGCGTAATCTAAAGACATGGGTTTTCAGATAGTAATCAGGCCCAACTTGTTTTACTTCTGAGCTCAGGAAGGTCACCCAGATACTACTATGTGTTGAAGCTCATAGGTTGTACTAAGCCATAGCATGGGTTTTTTTTTTTTTGGATTCTGAGTATAACTCAGAATTCAGCAAATCATGGTTAGAACTATAGCATAACATGATCTCTGAACCCAAATGGTGTGGGGTAAGGGTTATTCCTAAACCCATAAGATCTATTCAGGCTTGAAGCTTATTGCTTCAATATATGCATCTTGATCTATGGTGGATTCCTCTGTTTCTTAGAGAATACCCTTGGTTTGACAATGCCTTCTGTTGAGAAGAGATGTAAACCAATTTTAGTCCAATTCCACTTCGCTGTTGTTTTTGCTGTTGTCGTTTAAACACTCTTTTTAGAAGAGAAAATCCAAGTGCTTTCATGTTCTTTTCTGAGCTTTGCAGAATCCATGGAGAACAGAGACAGCAGGATGTATGGTAATGATGACCCCACCTCTCCAAAACAGGTTAAAAAAAAAACCCACACAGAAGAAGAAACAACATGAAATCTGCCTAACCCTGCAGAGAGAGATAGGGCCCAGCCATCATTTACATTTGCAGGTATTTAAATCTCCAACTGCATGGCTTCTGCCCTGATTAATAATTAATGAGGTGCCAAGACACATCTGGAAGGAAGCCACTGCGAATAATTCTGCCAGGCGGGAATAGCTGAGTTCTTACAGTGGAAGGAGCTTGGAGATTTCTCTGACATGCCCCTCAGCAAACTGTAGGAATCAAGGCTCCTTACGCCGTTCAGACCTATTTCAACTTATGGCATGTTTTTTGCACATGGCAAATGTCTCTGAAACAAGGAAGCAAGTTTTGGGAAGAACCGCTCTGTTGTCTGGCCTGACTCACCGTGCCTCCCTGGTGAGCTCACGCAGCAGCAGTGGGTAACCCCTTGCAGGCTGGAGGCCCCACTGAATGTTTGGGAGATAAGGAGCAATGTAGGAGGAGCCCTAATGCAAAATGGGTAGGGCTGTGCACATAGGTAGGCGAGCTGTGATGTTTCATTTCCTCTATTTTGGAGAAGTGGGGGGAGAGTATTTTTAAATCTTTGTTTCTACAAATGTTTGGGCTTTGCTACAATTTTTGTGTGTCGAAAAATGTGACCAAAAAGACCCAAGGACCGCAAATAGCCTGGGACAATTTCTCCTGCTGAAACCAAACTTAAATTTTATAAAGGCCCAGTTCTGAGGAAATTGTCAGTTCCTATGAGATTCCAGTGTTCTTACATAGAAAAAACTCAAAATATTTCTGTTGTTAACTCTGTAAATTTTTTAAAAATTTAATTTAATTTCTTGCCCTCTGCGCCATGGGTTTGAAATGGTACAGTGGCTCTTGCTGCCTGAAAGGGTTGCCAAGCCCTGCTTAAGAGGGAGACATGGGCTGAGTTGAGACATCAAACATAAATATTCTACTCAATTGGGCCATAAAATAGTCTTTGTCAAATTGCCAATACTGTGGTTTAATAAACTAATGGACTCTAAATATTTCCTTTTTGGGAACAAAATGCTCTTTTATGCTATTTCATATTACCTTGACACTTCCATGTGACCTCATTGACATAATCTGAAGTGGGTTGAAAGGTGGCTTTTTAACATAAATGATCCACTGAGAAAAACCACGCAAGTTTTATAAAGTTATTATAAAAAAAGAAAAGTAATAGAGAGAAACTAGGCAAGAGATGAGCAGCTGGAGCCAAACTGAATTTGTTCACAAATGTTCTGCTGCTCCACTAAGAAGGCAGCCACTGATGGTTTGAAGAAAAGCACCGATAAAGTATTAAGATGCTGAAAATCATTTATCTGGCCTAAAAAAAAAACAAAAAACCCCCCCAAGAAAACCTCCTTTGTGGTATTGTGCCTTTGTTGCACAAGATTTAGTGACGTTCATTTCTTAGGCCGGATTTGGCTCTGGCCTTACTATGGCTAGCTATCTATGGCTTTGCAGTAGGAGAAGCAACTGGTTGCCCCCTCATTTGTTGGAGATGGAGAGAGAAGGTCAGATTTTTTTCCCCCCTGTGATGGGGATGGTCCTCTGCAATACCCCCCATTGGAAGTCTACCAGTTTCCAACATAATTGGCCTTCTGGAGAACAGAGCATTTCCAGAGGGCTCTTAGGATCTGATGCAATATCTTGTTTTGGGGTGTTTTAATTCATTGGTAAGCTTTTTGGCTTGATGATTGTGTTTGGCTTATTCTTGTCAGCTTTCTAAGAGTCTTCTATGATTGCAGCAGGGTAGAAAATTGATTAATGAATAAATATTTAAGTAAGAAATTCTTTTATCACCTACCGTTGGACTTTTCACTATCTGCAGGTTTCATCTGAATGGGATGATGCATCTAGAAACAACAGACAACAAAGAGGGAAACAGAAAGTAAAGCAGGTTGGAATGACCTCATATCAAGCACATTTCAAGTTGTTTCCCTCCCCCTGATTTGCTATGGGCACGTAGAGTTGCCATTGGGTGGAATGATGAAGGAGAGTGTAAAAATTGCAGCTGTGTTGCAGAACACATGCCAGGACGCCCTTGATCTAACACCTCATTCCCTAAATACATTGGGTAGACCTGTTCCAAGATTTCCTTCTTAACCTGTCTAATCTATTACAGAGCTTTTGCTTGTCGGTGTAGACAAGACTGCTCTGGATGAGTAGAGAGATCCAATTTACTTTACAGTTTTTCTAGCCAGCTCAAATCAAAAGACCATGGGTGGGTTACACCATGGTAAAAGCACAAAAGCAACAATAGGAATGAATCAACATTACAAAGAACAATTATTAGTATATCAACCATCCCCCAAGATGGGTCAATGAAACTCAGCTAGGGTTAATGGCCCAATGAAATAAAATTATCTTGAAAAATTTTCTGAAAACCACAAGGGAAGGAGCTTTAAGGACCTCTGAATGCTCCTAACTGTGGGGGCCACCCCAGAGAAGGCCTGACATCTTGTCCATGTCCCCCTCATCTCAGAGACAGAGGGTCTCTTAACAGCCTTCCCAAGATATTCTCACTGGCTGAGCAGATTCAGTTCTGCCAAAGCTCTCTTATTAAACAAACCAGAAATCCAAGAAACAATGGTTTCCAAAGCTATATTGTTCACTTTTTAGAAAAGAGGGGATGTCACAGTTTGATTTTATGGCTCATATGCTTCTGAAACATGCACACACATGTACATTAT